GTGGGGGGGAAGGGTGGGGGGGTAAGACGAACAACTGACTAGGGAAGTGGGGGATTATATGCCGGGTCAAGATTGGGTTGGATGCATAGGGGTAAGACGAACCACAGACGAGTGATGCTGATATAGAAGAGTGGAGAGCGAGGAAGCCATTACAGGAAGGCTGGCAACGAGACGGGAGAGAGCGGGGCGGGAAGAGGCGAGGCGAGGCGGGGCGGGTTTACAAGGCAAGGAAGGGACGGGGGGGGGCCCGTTGAGTCCCTCTTGAGCGTTTGCAAGCGATTACAATTTTGACCCTGCTCTCCTATCCTTCCCTCTCCCCTCCTCTCCCCTCCCAAACTTCCCCCCTGGAGCGCCCAACCCCCGACCAACCATATTGGGTCCGTTGGCTGTCTGAAGGTACTGGGATTGAACCAGCTTCCGCAGCGGACCGCCGTCGCAGTACTCTGGCGGTTGAAAAACGGTTAGAAGCAACGTGGGAAGTTAGTTGTGGCGGTTGAGTTGTGATTACCGGCGGTTGAATTGTCATTACAGCCGTTCGTTCTTCAGTTTCTTTACGGCGTGTATGGGTATGGGTATGGAAGGCGGGTCGTCATCAACGGCATATCACCAGTATCACCACCACCACCATTATCGCCAGCAACAACAACGATGCATTCTCATCCCGTTCCGTCTCATACCTGCTCGCCGGCCCCACCTCCTCTCCACTTCCCCCCGGCCCCCTACACACCCCTACCTACACCCCCCCCCTAGCCTCGAGATCCACATGCAGGTATCCGCCCCCTCACGTTGAGCCGTCACCCTCACCCTCAACCCCGTCACCCTCAACCCCGTCACCCCGCCGAACCCCACCCCACCCCGCACCTTGTACGATATACAGTCGCCAGTCCTGCAGGGAGGTGTGTGTGTGTGTATGGTCCCATAGTGGACCGGATTCGCGGGAGGAAAAGGCGGGGGGGCCCAGAGAACGCATGAATGAATGAATGGACACGATTGCAAAGGGATATAACGAGTGCTGAGAGAGAGAGAGAGATTGTGTGTGTGTGGGGAGGGGGGGGAAGACGAACCACACACGATTGAAGCTGCTGCTGTGTGCGGGGGGGGGGAAAGGGGGGAGGAAGATGATGGCATGAATGTGATGATGGCGCCGCAACTGTTGACGCGCTAAGCGCCAGTGTGTATTTGTGAGAAAAAAAGGGAGTGGAGAAGAAATGAAGACTCTAATATACATCTCAGTGCCGGACAATAACGGGGGAAAGGAATTTATAAACAGATTATATCATCATTTCAACCAACCAACTCAACGAACTTACCAGTAAGTTTGACAGTGTGGAGTTTCGGTTATTGTTGTTGTGCGTTGGCCCGGCTCCCAACACCACGGGGGCCGTACTGTTGTTGTGTACGGCACCCAGCGGTTGTACGTCAACCGCGTACGTCGCCACGATGTTGCGATGATTGATGCTCTGACAGAGGGCAGCTTCCTGTGTTTGTGTTTGTGGGAGATGGGGGGACGAGGGGCGCCGCTAGTGGGGGCGAGTAGTGGAGGGGAAGGGACTGGAATTATTCCCCCCACCATACATACATACACACACACGTACACGTACACGTTTTGGCATCACTTCACTGCAGCTACTGGACTACTCCTCCACTGCAGCTACTGGACTACTCCTCCACTGCTGCTACTGGACTACTCCTCCACTGCAGCTACTGGACTACTCCTCCACTGCTGCTACTGGACTACTCCTCCACTGCTGCTACTGGACTACTCCTCCACTGCTGCTACTGGACTACTATTACATCCAAATGTACCCAATGTTTTCGTAAGTCGTAAGTCGTAAGTCGTAAAAGGAACTTTCTTAGATTTTTTTCTTTTGAGCCCTTAATCGCTAAAAACGTTCCGTTCATCAGTCAGATGAAAATTATCATCACCATCATCATCGTGTGTGCAAATATCAGCGTTACTCGATTCTCGCGCGGCTAAGATGAACCAGAACATTCACACACAAGCGCGTGCACACACATACATACATGCATACATACCCATACCTGCAGAGCGCGTTTCCTGTTCTCGCTGCTCGCACTGAACACCACCGTCTTCACCGCCACCTCCAAACCCTGCCACTGACCTGCGGACGATGGGGGGGAGAGCGTGTATGGAAAAACTGTGTGTACGGAATATGTACGAATGTGTACAAACATACGTGAACCAATCTTACACACGGTTTACAAAAATGTTGGCGCACACCCCCACCCGGCCATGTCCTTTTCTTCTTTCCGTGTATATACATGTCGTACATGGGTACATACTGTCGTACATCCGTACACATGTATACATTCCCCCCGTCCAGATCAGCAGGCAGATAGACTTACAATCATAATTCAGACAGACAGACAGACAAACATACCTCGATACACAGTTCCAAAAGCCCCTGACCCAACCACAGACATGATATGAAGTTGGGTGTCGTTCACCCCGGCCATGATGTCCCGACGAAGCTGCTCCAGCTCGTCCATGAGGCTGGCAACCTGGCGGTTGAGAAGCGGTTAGAAAGCGGTTGGAGGTGGTTTGGAGATGGTTTGTTACTTAATTAAGGGCTTTGGACACTTGGTTGTACGTTATGAAAGTTGGTTGGTGAAGGTCGTTGGTGAACCGTTGGGATGAGACGCGGCCCCGGCTCCCCAACCGCCGCCGCCCGCGTACGCTCGTACATCTACTCGTACATCGACTTTTAGTTCTAAGACCCAAGAGCTACAGCTACAGCTCCCACTTTGCCCTCACCCGCCCGCGGGACGTCGTCCTTACCCGCCCGCCGTTTACCGGTCCTTGCACGCCACCATCCGCCGCCGCCGCCGCCGCCGCCCCCCATCCTCGTCCTCATCATCGTCGTCGCTGTCCTTCGATTTCATAATCCTATTCGCAACGTCAACTGCAGCGGAGGCAGACGCGACGGCGTGACGTGTGGCAGTGGCGGTGCCGCCGCCGCCACCGCCGTCCCCACCCGCCGCCAAGATCGCTTGTTGTTGTTGTCGTTGTTGTTGTTGTTGCTGCTGCACGCCGGTATCTGCAGACCCTGAACCCTGCTGCTGCTGCTGCAGCTGCTGCTGCGACGACGACAGCGGCGGTTGGAGTTCGTTTGGCTGTCTGTACGCCGCTGCCGCCGCCGCTGCCGCCGTCTGCGATTCCCTTGAACACGCACTTCGCGACTGGGAACAGCCGCCCCCGCCCAACTGAATAGAGAAGGTGGCGGCGCCGGATCCACCGCCGCCGCCGCTTCTGGTGGCGGCGGCTGCAGCAGCGGCGGCGGCGGCGGCTGTAGCGGCGCTGCTGCTACCGCCCATCGCCGCCACCCGCGACGCCAGCAGTACGTCCAACCCCGCCTTCGTCACCGCCATCGTTGTGGAGACCTCGAGCCCCTGCGACGCCCCGCGGCCGCCGCTAGAGCTGCTCTGTCCGCCGGCGGCGGCGCTGGTGCCAACGCCGCCGACGCCCGCCAACATCGCCGCCAGCGTCACCATCGGCGGCCCCGGCATCGTCACCGTCGTATGACTGACGCTCGTACCGCTGGCGCTTTGGTGCGAAGCACCCGTCGTACCGCTGCCGCCTGACGGCCGGATATGATGTACGGTAACCGCGGCGGCGGCGGCGGTGCCGTCGCTTCTTTGCTTATCTACAGTCGGCGTTTCGGCGGCGCCTGCCGAGACCGCCCCTGGATCGACCTGGGTCGGTGAAAATTGCTCCGAAACCATTGCATCTCCCCCCTCCAAATCTTTAGTCGCCATAGGGCCCAGCAACAACGTCGGCACAACTGGCGGCCGAAGGAGCCCCACCTCCGCTGCAATGGGACAGTTCTCCAAGCCGCCGCCGCCATCGCCGCCAGTACCACCACCGCTGCCAGTGCCGCCGCCGCCGTCTACCTCGATCCGGACCTCGTAATCCTCCGGTCTGTCGTACTCGGGGTTCTGGCGGTTAGGACGGTTGCTGATGTCCTTGATGAGATTGCGGATATTTGAATTCTGGTGGAGTTCTGCCGTACCGCCCTCGTCCGGTGCATAACCCACCTGCGAGTCGAGACCCCGAACACTCGTTAGGTCGTTTGTACGACAACAGCTTAAACTAACTAACATCTGGTACGGTCTACGGTGAGCTTCCTACGTAGATCAGCACACGCGCAATTCCCGCTTACACAGACAGACTGATATACCGACAGACGGGTCCCTCCCTCCCCTCCCCTCCCCTCCCCGTGCAACGTTCCCCCCTTCCTCTCCCTCCAATTGTGCACAACATTCTCCCCCCCCCTCTCCCGCACCCCAGTCGCCAGCAGTTTGGCACTTTGCTTTAAGCATCATCGCACGGCTTTCTCCCTCCCCTCTCAATCTACCTCCCTCCTCCCCTCCCCCTCCCTCCCTCCCACCGGCATGGGCATGATCTGCCAGTCAGGTATCTCCCCATCCAGCCCGTTGAACATGATGCCGTGAGCTTCGCGACCCATTCCCAGGGCCTCCTTCAGACGCCGCATCTGAGGGGAAGCGGAAGGAACAGACAGAAAGAAAGAGAGGAAAAAACGAGGGGGCAGTGTTGGGGGGTTGTTGTTGTTATTGAGCGGGAGGGAAAGACGAATCACACACGATTTTGAAGCTGCTGCCAGGGCAAGAGAGTGTATCAAACGTAGAGCGGGAGGGGGGGAAAACGGTTTGCGAATGGAAATACGCAGGACGAGAGAGAGAGAGAGGGAGAGAGCAGAGAGAGCAGGGGGTCTGGCGATGTGGACAACATGTGAAGTTGGATTAGAAGCGGCTTAGACTGGTCCCCCCTCTCCCCCTCCCCTTGAGCCCCCCACTCTGGGCCATGAGTGCCTTCCCTAGTTGCACACTGAACGACAAAGACACGTAAAACACACACCCGGCCACTGAAGGTGTGAAGGGACACTGAGCCGGGTCGCCTGGTCCTCCGTTACCCCCAACTAACACCGCCACGGCCATCACCACCTCCCCGACCTTTCCCCCGACCAAACACGCCCAGGCACAGCTCCTTCCGGTCAGTTCTATACGTTTGGTACACTCTTGCCCTGGCAGCAGCTTCACTCGTTTGTGGTTCGTCTTCCCCCCCCCCACACACACACACGCTTCTCTACCCAACCATAGCCATCGGGACCCACCCCTCACCCCCATGACCCCACCGCCACAACCACCCAGCAGAGCAGCAGCCCGTCCCGCTCCCCTCTGCCTTCCCCCCTCAGAAATGGAGGTGCGTTGGACAGCGCCGGCAGAACGGACAACAACGGCGGACCCGTGTTGCTCTCCTCCTTTTTCTTCTTCTTGTGCGTCATCACATCATTTACCTCCACCCCTCCCCCCCTTTACCCCGTCCCTCCCCCCCTTCCACCCCCCTCCGAAGCGATACAAGCCTCCACTCACCCTCCTGGCTCGGCGCTCCTGGTAAGTCCGGTAGTGACGTCTGAAGTAGAGGAAGAGCCCCACAGCCGCTAGCAAGATGGCTAACGACGCCACGATCTGAGTTTTGTTTGTTGGTTAGTTAGTTGGTTTGGGGGAACCAGAGGTGCAAAGAGCAACGGATAGACGCTTTGGTTTGGGGGCCGGAGTTGTTGACGGTGTTGTTATAAAATGCGTAAATATACACAAGTACAAGGTAGGCGGTGGGGATATTCAAGGTAAGAGGTGGGGATCGGGAGACGCGATGTGGGTAGATAAATAGGAAACACAAAAACACTCAGGCGCATGAAGGGAACGAGTGCGAGAGAGAGAGCGGGGGTTGTGTGTGAAAAAACTGACCTTGACGAGGTTGCTGGCCGAGCGTTTCGCCTTCACGAGCACGGGTTCGATTCCCAGTAACCGCAATTGTTGAACCACGCACTCGGACGCTGAGGCGCTGGATAGACAATTGGGATCCACCACATTGTCCGAAATTTGTACGGATTCTTCAAGCAACAAGTCGTACTCGCCCAGCGCCAGGCCAGCAGCAAAGTACGGTGAGCTGGCGGGTCCTAGCCGTGTGGCCACGTCCACGATGTAGACCTGTGCCGTTTCGCGGGGTCATGAGGCACGTGGGGGAGGGTGGGAGGGAGAAGATTGACAGGGGGTTGACAGCCTGGGTGTGCAGGAGTGTCCATAACACACATCCGCAACTTCGGCTGGTACCTATCATTCCATGACTTCCCATCACTTTCCGTCTCCATCTGTCCCCCAATACCGCATGCGGGGTGGGATGGCGACAGATGGGCCCGAGGGCTGGGGGTTAAGACGAACCACTGGCGAGTGCGGCAGATACCATTGAAGCTGCAACAGCAACAGCAACAAACGGTCAACTGCTGACACGTCAAAAACGCCAACTGTCAGCATCCGAAGCAAGGAAGAAGGGGGGAAGTCCGAGGGGGAAGCGCACACGAGGGGAGAGTAAGGAAAAAGAATTCGGGAAAAGATGTGACTGTAAAGGAAGGGGAACGAGATGCGGACTGACGAACACAATTTCTTGGTGGGAGGGCGGCGAGAAGGGCGTGGAGAACGGCAGGGAAAGCAGTACTGGACGGGGACAAGATGTGACCTACCAGGTTGGTGCTGCAGGGAGGTCCGGCGCCGTCGCGAGTCGAGTTGTAGCAGAAACGTGGCAGGAAAAATGCGATTTGGTGGTCATCGCTGCTGCCGTTAGGGCTGCCGGTAGTCTGGTTTAAGCGAGGCAGCTGCAGCAGTTCATCGAGAGTTTGCTTTCCCCCGAAGCCGGCAAGGCGCCGCTGCACGACGTGCTGGAAGATGACTCGTCCGCCCGGTGATGCGCCCACAATCAGCATTGCTTGACCGACTTCTGCTGTGTAATTGACGATTTCAAGCCACCGAAAAATAACCTCTCCGCCAGGCCTTATGTATATAGCGCTCGAGACGCTTGAAAAGTCTATTGTTACATAAGAACCGATGGCTTGGTACTGTGGAGGGGCCGAAACGGTGACATTTCGCGAGATGCTCACTGCTGTCGTCCAGTCGCTGCGATCCAGCTTGATTGTGGCGGTCAAGTACACAGTGGAGACCTCCAGCGATGCCAAAGCACTGTAAAGGGCTTTGCTCGTACCGGCATACACGACGCCCGCTGGAGGAGCGCCATCTGTCAAGCGCAGCAGACACAGTAAAAGAGCTCCAAGGAGGAAAGCGCTGCTGGGATGATGGCTCTGCAGCTGGGGTAACAGTATTGCGCTTGACGCCCCATGCATTTCAGTCAAGGATCTACCATTGTGCCTTGTACCAGCAAAGCTTTCACAGGTCATTCGCTAGCCAAGGGTCAGCACCATATCGCGCCACGGACGACGCGAGTAAGCCCCGCGCGTCCGGGCAGTGCTCATCTGATGGAAGGCAATTGGTTCAAATGTTTTTAAATAGAGAAAAGTGGACCTGTTATGCACGATGACTCGCGTTCGTGTGAGAGTTACAGTTAACTTACGGTAGGAAATGCGTAACGTAATTAAAGCCACAGAAAGCCAAATTATTCCTACGATTTACGTAGTTGATGGTCATTGTCTCATTGGGTTTGCCCAGGCTGACAAAGCCACAAGGGTTTGCCGTACATATTGTACTGTGGCCTGTCTTGCTTGCAAGGAGGTCAACCTTCCTCGTCTATCCTTTGTCCACGTATGCAGGGTCAATTATTAGCTTGGACCAGGAGAAGTCAGTTTCGGCCTCGAACTTTGACCCGTTTTCCGGCGTTGCTTCCGGCGTTCCTCCCACTTTGCTCACGAGCCATGTCTGGCCGACCTAAACGCGCACCAAAACGTTCTCGCAAATATTCCGACGAGGAGGAGCTGGATGACGAGGAGCTGAGCGAGGAGGAGGTTCCGCTGGACGAAGACAGCGAGGAGGAAGAAAAGCCCAAGAAGAAAGCCAAAGCGCCGGCAGCAAAAGCGACGCCTAAGCCTAAGAAGCAAACGGCTGCATTCACGAACTCCTCAGGATGGTCATTTGAGCCGCCGTCGCTCCTTTACAAGTAAGCATGGTCAGCATAAGCATCAACCCGTTGCCCGCTTTGTTTAGGTACTAAAAATCCCCTCGAACCTACGCAGGACCTACGGTGATCCACGACCAAACAACAAGATTGCTGCTGTTGACCTGGTATGGCGGGAACTCTGTGATGTTTGTCGCGTTGACCAGGCTCCAACCTCTCGGCTTGAAGAGGGCATCCCCAAGCCCCAATTGCCTGGAATCCTTCATCCTTGTCTGGTATCCAGCAATTCCACGCGTGCCCAATTCTCATCTAAGTTTGCAACTCTGTGTGGCATGTACATATTGGTTACAGGGCACCTGCGTGCTTTGCAGTTGCCACTCCCGGAACGCCTTCTTGGAAAAATGAAGGGCGGGAGGACAAACAGAGGAGGATAGAATGTTGGTTAATAGCCCGAACGGGGAGAGGGGACGAAGCAAATGAAGCTTATCCGCAGCAGGTGTACAAATCCCACTATGAAGTGGATTCAGCAAGGGTTCCAGGCTAATATTCCCCAGCATATGAAAGGGAACTAAGTTGCGTGCGATGCAGCTGTAGGGGCACGACTCCTCCTCCGTATCTTCAGTGCCTATAATCTGGGCCGCGTGGTTGTGTCAGCGAAAGTGTGTCCGTGTGTGCACGTATGCACCTGCAGGACGGTACCATGGTCAATACCAAGAGCGGTGCGCAGTTCCCCAAGGATGAATCAGACTACAAGTGGTTTAACAAGAACACGGCCAACGCCATCCGGGCCTATCACGACTCGGGGTACAAGGTAGTCATCTTCACGTAAGCCCGTTATACAATGTTGTGAAAATGATTACATATATTGTCGTGTGAGAGGTTAATTCACCAACGATGCAACTTAGATATCCATTGTAACGGCATCCATTCAAATTACGTGCTTCAGAGGAACGTACTGCACGGAAACCGATCAGTGCTTTGCGGGGGTAATGTGTTTTTTGAGTTCCGGTCACTGTCTCCGTGTTTCCTGGCCTCCCCCATCCTCCCCTCATATGGCATCTCATTTTCATCCTCTCCCTTCCCCCCGCAGCAACCAGGGAGGCGTAAAGAGCGCCGTGACGGGCAAGATGGCGGAAAAGGTCAAGGGGCGGATTGACGCAGTGGTTAAGGAGGTGAGCAGGAGAAGGGATGCTGGTGGGAGGGTAGGGCGCGTGGGTAGAATCACAAGGTGAGTGGGCCGAAAAACCCAGTGCGCACGTGCGATCGCGTGTGGGAGATACACGGTATGATTACCTGGCTTCGGGTGGAATAGTGGATGTGGAGATGAGAGTAGGTATAGCTAACTGGGTTCTCGACGGAGAGAGGCGGTAAGCAACTCTCCTAAAGCGGCCTCAGGCTATCTTTTGCACCGGCCCGCCTCCCATCTATGTTTGCCCTTTTTGTCGCCCCCGTCGTAACCCCCTCCTCCCATCCCGCCCCACCCGACCCCCATTCTGCAGTTGGGTATTCCCGTACAGGTATTCGCTGCGACGTTGGACGACCAGAACCGCAAACCCAACACGGGCATGTGGCACTTCTTCTGTCAGCGACACAACGGCGGAGTGCAGCCAGGTGGGTGTGGGCCTGTACGGGGAAGGGGACAGTTGCCCGGGAAGGGGGACGTATGGGCCGGAGGAAGTTGCCTTGCCCGGAAGTGGAGGGAAATCAAGAAGAGGCTCTTCGGGGGAGTCTACCAGCGGCAGTTCGTAGGCATGAGTCTGCGTTCCATATAGGCACATGAGTCTGCCACGTCATGAAAGCCACCAACGGAAGGTCGTTACCGGTTTGCACGGCTGACCACCCCACGACCATCACCTGTCCCGTTCCCTGCTTTCCATCAGTAAGTTGTCCTTTCTGGCTCAGTCCATTAACCCCCCCTGGAGGTCCTCGGAGGTACTCCAGGAGGGGGGAAGTCGATTACGGAAAATGACCGGTCAGGGGTTGTGGGAGGCCGCGAACTCGCATGTCAACATCCTCTCTCGTCTCCTCCCGTTTACCCCCGCAGCTGGGACCCACTACTGCGTATTGGCTGTACGTTATCGTACAGCATCTCTGTCTGAGAGAGAGGGCTGTCTGTGTCCCTGTGTCCTACTCCCAACCACCGCCATCCCTGGCCCCTGCATGGTCCCCGGGCGCTGCATCTCATCTCCTGTCTCCTTTCTCAACTTCGCCTGAACAGACCTGTCCAAGAGCTTCTACGTGGGTGATGCGGCGGGTCGGCCAGGTGACTTTGCTGACAGCGACAAGGCGTTTGCGGCCGCCATCGGCATCGGGTTCAGATTGCCGCAGGAGGAGTTCGGGTGAGCGAGAGTGGGCTCGTGAGTCTTAATGAGTATTTCTTGGGGGGGGGGGAAGAAGGAGATGAATCTGAGAAGAGACGGGGAGGACGGCGGACGGGGCACTGGAACTGTGGCTCCATCTTCCATTCGGCCATTGTTACTCCTTAACACCCACAGCTTGCGCCCATACCCATACCGCCTCCTCCACCCGGCCTTCTTGCCGCTTCATTACGCACCGTGACCCACATCAAGAGCCCACCCGGCCATCGCAATTTGACGAAGAGAAAATGCCCATACGTAGGGAAATGGAGGGCAAGCGGGCTCTGCCCGCGGGTGTGATGAAGAAGAGCAAGGGTGAGGGAGGCAAGCCGGTGAGATGAGAGAAGATGTGTGTGTAGAGGGTGTGTGTGTGTGTGTGTGTGTAGGAACGTGTGTGGGGAATGTGGAGGCGAGAGGAGGGGTGGGGAGGTGGTGCGGAGAAGCGTCTGAGTGTTTGTGCTTGGGGGGTCGATTCTTCGTCCACGGAGTCTTATTTCCTGGGCTCCGCTGCGCCCCTCTTCACTGCAGCAGTCCGTTTCCCCCGCTCCCTCGATGTTTTGCATTCCCATGAGATGTCGTACATGTTCTGCAGTTACCGACCGTCACATCCCCACCCTCACATCCTCCTGGCATACAAATACTAACTATTTTACCACACCAACACATCGCGAACCCCTTCTGCAATCGTACTCTACTCCCAACTCCCCCGGCTATACGTATGTATGTGTGTACTGATGTCTGTGTGTATATATGCTCCGTATTCTTCGTACTATATCGTACTACATGGGCAGGAGGCGGTCAACCCCGACAACTCGAATCTGGTCACCGTGTTCAGTCAGCTGGCAGACAAGTTTTTTGAGGAGGCCAAGATGGGTGCGTTGAGTCGGGGGGAGAATCACGTCCTCAGGGGAGTTGTAACCCTAAGTAATGTGCAAAGGCCGGCGAGGCAATCCCCTCACTGCTCCACGAGTGGAACAGTATACAATAAAGAGGAGGGCTGCAAAGGCCGGTGAGGGGATTGCCAGAGAGAGAGACTGCCGCCTAAGCATGATGTTACTTGTCCCTGTCGCTAACTAGGCCATGATGTGCCGCATACGCTTTTGCGTTCTCCGTACTTCTCTGGAGCGTCATAAGGCTGAGGAGGGGTGGCTGTGTTTATCTGTTTTCCCGTACAGACTCCAAGGCCAAGTTCAAGGCCATCTCCAGTAACAAGGTGGCGGCTGTGTTGGCGGAATTCCCCGATAAGGTGAGAAACGGGAAGCGAAAGAGCGATGGTAGCGATTAGTCCCTGTCTACCAGTGATTGACCCCACTGTTTTTTTTACCGCTACATGAAGTATGAGAACTTATTGACTTATTGATGGTGCTAAGTTAGGGATGGTGCTGATAGTGCTTTTTTGTCGGCGTTGCTGATGTTGCAGATCACGACCGGCAACCTCAAGGAGGTGGCCAAGCTGCCCGGAGTGGGCAAGGGCTCCATCGCCAAGGTGCGGAGTTGCTGGTTGGGCGAGAATTGTGGCCGGGGCAACGTTGTTTTATTTTTGAATTGGGGTCTTATTTCTGCTGTATCCCGCTCCGAGCGGCCTCACCTTTGTGGGTTGGGAAATGCTGTCTGTGTTGAGCTCCTATCCTCCAGGGTGTTCTTTTCTGGCCGTTCATATAAGGTGCTCGGGTGGATGTGAGATGTGTCGTTCCCATGATTTTTGTGCGCGTAGTGCTTATCCTCCTGCCTTGGTTCCTGATTGGTGTTGGTTTTATCGTGTCCGGAAAGCCTTACGGACGGGCTGTGTGGGGATTGAGACGTGCGGCTATGTTCCGTGGGATCTACTAAAGGATCAGCTTTTTTGCATAGACCAACTGTAAATAAGCATACTTAATATGGCTCGTGCGCTTTTTAAATGTACTGTGGGCGCAGATACAGGAGTTCTTGGAGACCGGCACGGTCTCGGAGCTGTCGGGCGTCGATGACCTCGCTGGCGTCGGGAAAGCTGCGCCGCAGCTGAAGGACACTGGAAAGGATATGGCCAACAAGTTCATGTGACAACATGGCAGTGACAAGGCTCGCATAGTTGCGGTTAGGCTTTCGCAACTTCAATGGATCGCTGCACTTTTCGTTACGACGCTGTTGAACTTATACGCTGGATGCCTTGAGCTTAAATGTTTGGTTGAATGTGCTTCCGCGGTTGTTGTTTGAACCATGCATGCCGCAAACCCCATCGGCGTCAACGAGACCCTTCGACTGTTGCATATGCATGTATACTGTTGATTGGGTTAATACATATGGAGAGCAATGTTGATATATTGCGTTACTTGTTTTTGTTGTCTGTCGTAAGTGCTTGTCGCGTGGTCCTCCTGCCGTTCAGCACTTGCATCTGGAGAGTCAAGATTCATGCTTAGGAATCTTTTTTAGCACATTCCGTCGCTATTGTTCCTTGTAACGGTTCTATCAAATATGTGCCCAAGGCTTTACCTAGCAAGGCAGACTGCTCAACGCTCATGTCTATGTTGTGCCGAACATACAAGCCGAAAAACTGTGAAAGCATCAGTGCGAAAACAGAAAATTGGCTATATGAGAATGGTTGGATTTAGGCTTGTACAGAAGTCAGCTTTCGGGGAGTCAGCCGCGCGCACCCGTGTTGCTTCGCTGGCCACTTTTGTGAGTATTCCATTGAGCGGGACAAATGCAAATGATTCGCCGTCATGTGCTTAATTTGTGATACCGAGCCGCTTTCGCATTTTTGTCCTGAGTTGCTTGTTGACATCATCAGTCGCGACTCTTGCTCTTGCCAGGAGGACTCTGTTGGCGCCGGTATCAGGACGCTGACACAACGCGCCACTTTACCATTATCATCCCGTCTTTCACAGCTGCGGAGTTTGGTTCGGGGACTGATACTTTCCGCGCCTATAACAACGGCATCAACACTGTCTACTTCACCACAACCACCCATCAAGGGTGCCTCAACAACTACTACATCTCGAGCAGTCACGACCGCAATTCTCAGTCCCAGCAGCGAAGCAGATGCGGACTCCATAGGACCAGCTCTCCATGCCGACGCCAGCGGCCAGCCTCACCCACCAGCCCAAAACCTCACCACCACCACCACCACCACCACCACCACTACTATTATCCATCAAACCCCTGCCCACCACCACCATCAAAAACATCGCCGGATCCACCACCATCACGACCGTCACCATCAGCGCCATGATGATGCCGTCGAAAGCGAGGCGCACAGCACCACCTCCCCACGCGACGCCCCTTCGCTACATTCCCACCGCAAGCACCATTCCAGTCATCATCACCACAACCACCACAACCACCACCATCCGACACTCCGTCTGATAGCCTCCAGAATCCGCTCCGGCAGCCGCCCCGGCGCCCGTCGTGACGGCGCCCGTCTTGGCCTGGTGGTTGAGGGCGGCGGCATGCGCGGCTGCATTAGCGGTGCCATGCTCATGGCCCTCCATGATCTGGGCCTTACGGATGTATTCGATGCGGTGTACGGCGCGTCAGCGGGCGCCATCAACGCCACCTATTTCCTGTCCGGACAACGACACGGTCTGCAGATCTATCGCGAAGACCTTACTCAGGGAACTGCCTTTTTGGATTTCAGGTAATTCAGTTAGTTGGAGCGAGGGTGGTTGCCTGTCGTCTGAGCTGCATGTAAGGAGCTACATGGTAATTCGATTTTGGTAACGACTTTTAAAACGACATTCAAAACGCAATTTTTTTATGTTCGCCGCCGCAGTGCGCGTCGCTTATAACGTGCCCAAATACAATCAAGAAATTTGAAACAACGAAATAACCGCTGCTCGGATCGTCACATGTCGCTGATTCTCCTCACTTCTCTTTCCAAACTCACCCACCCCGTCCGTTCTCCATCTTTGGCTCTCATGCCATCAACCCCCCACACACACGCTGTTCGCGGGTTTTTCCCCTCCTTCCCTGTAGGAATTTATTTTCTCGGGAGTCGTCCGCACGACCCGTCATGAACATCGACTTCCTGATTGACCACGTAGGTCAATGTGGGGTACTTAATTTGAATGATGTTGACATCAGCGTGTGATACGTTTCCATGAATCGTACTTCGTAATAAAAGTGTTAGTGTTATACTTAGCAATACTTCATGCAACAACAACAACAATATCCATATTAATATTAATATAAGTATTAATGAATTTTACTATTAGTATAGTAATTGTTTGATAAGGGAATGTGAAACGGGAGTTCAGGAGGGCAGGAATAAAGGCAGCGAGGCAGGAGGTTACGGATGATGAGGGTTGTCAAGGCGTGGTGGTATTGGGAGGTTGTTTAGAGGACAGGACACGCCACATCGCTCATCACACCGCATCGTACTTCCAGGGACAGGAGGGGAAGGGGGGAAAAAACCAAACCAGGGTTCTTCACCCCGATTCGGGCCCGAACATTTTTGCGATTTTTCCTTTTTGCCCGGAAGGAAAATTAGTGTGTCCCGGAGCATCCCGAACGGATTTTGTGCCTTTTGAAGCATTTCTTCGGCGACCCAACCGAAGCCTCCCGAAGGCATTTTCGGAGAAAACCGAACGATATTTAGGCGTAAATTTGCATGTTTTCAGGCGCGGAAAGGGCCTGGAAACCGGGCTTGCGGTATTAGGTCCGCTTGGTCACCAGTCAAACAAGTACAAATGTGAATTGCGGCTGTATCGCATCGAGGTGATTGCTGCAGAGGTGGATGAGGAGCGGCGCCTCTTTGGTTCAGGGTAAAATCCTTCCCTGAACGATTGCTCCCAGGCGCCATGTTCCAAAATAAAGTCAAACATCTGCTAATTCAGCCGTCCTGCATATTACGATAGAATCCAGCTAAATTTTACCCCGAAAAAAGCTTCAGACAGTTTCGGGGTGCCCGAAAAAAGTGTCAGGCTGATTCGGGGAGGGCCCCGATAGGTTATTCAGAGGATTTCGGACACGACCGAAATTTGTGGGTACCCCGGTGAAGAACCCTGACCCAAACCAGGGGAAAGGGGGGAAGGGGAAAAAAACAAAACTCAGCGCCGAGAACAAAATCCCTTTCACCCACCACCCGGAGGAAACTGAACCACACGAACGCATAACCGCAACCACCATAACCGCTTTCACAACCGCCATTGCACAACCGCCATCGCAGGTCATGCACACCTCCAAGCCATTAGACTGGGACGCAGTGCTAACCTCCCCCACACCTCTCAAGATCGTGGCCTCCTGCCTAGACTCGCTACAGCCTGTCGTACTGTCGGATTTCGCCGACCAAGGCGAGCTGGCGGAGGCGCTCAAGGCTACTGCTGCCGTACCGCGGATCGCCGGCCCGCCGCGGCGGCTCCGCGGTCGTACACTGGTGGACGCGGCGGTATTCGAGCCGGTTCCCTTGCCGTCTGCTATCCGCGACGGCTGCACCCATGTGCTAGTGCTGTGCACTAGGCCACCGTCGACTGGGACGGGGCCCTGGTCGCGGCGGGTTCAACACACCATCGAGGTTGGCGGGGAGCAGCTCTATTTTCATTTTTAGACAGACATAGGACTGAAGGACATTTAATTAGTTTCATATTTTATTTGGTTTCATATTTTTTTATTTTTGGGTTAAATAAATTTATTATGTAAGATCCCTCTTCCCTTGTAAAAATGTCTTTTTCTCTCTTTCTCTCTCTCTCTCTCTCTCTCTCTCTCTCTACCTACCTATCTCTCTTTTACCTCTAGAGCTTGGTGAGCTTCTGTTCCTGGCTGACAGCTTTTTTTACCTTTGTGTCTGCATGACTGGAGAGACGTGAAAAGTGTGGTCAAAGGGGTTGTGTTGGTGGCGTTAAACGGGAGCCGGGGATGTTAACTCCTTTGCCCAGTCCCGTCCCGTCCCTACCTTCACTCGTTTGTGGTTCGTCTTTCCCTTCACCTGTCAACTCTTTTGCGCCCCTTTCAATGTGCTGCTCATATACTTCGCTCCTCATGTTGGTAAAGCTGACCCCCCCCCCCCCGATCCTGTCCTGCCCTGTCCTGTCCCGCCCATTTCCCCCAACCAAACAATCACCTCATCATCAACATCAATTACTTTCCGGGTTTTAAGGTCTTGGCTAAGAATACGGTCCTCAACGCGCCGTACATGCGAGACGCCTGGCGTGCCGCCGGTGCCGCGGAATCGCACTCTCCTGCCATGCTGGACGAACGGCTGGTTTCGGCGCTGCGCTGCTGCCCCCACGAATTCCGGCGTACGATGGGCGCCTACCTGTTGCCGCTTTACCCGGACCACACTGCCGGGTGCCACCCGTTGTGTTTGGATCCCGACACGCTCGCGGCGGCGTGTGAGGTAGGACATCGAGCGGCGCTGCGGCTGCTGGGGCCGCTGGTTGCCGCCGGGGCCGCCGCGTCTGCGACGGCGGACGAGGTGGCGGCGGGGCGCGGACAAATCGGAGTGTGGGATGCTGGGGAGATGGCGGGGGTTGAGGGTGGGGCGGCAGCGACGGCAGCAGCAGCAGCGGCGCACGCGTCTGGGGGGGGCGGCGGCGGTGGTGGTGGTGGCGACAGCAGCGGTGTTGTTGGGGAGTTTGGCGGGGCGGAGTTGTACTCAGCCGATATGGATTTGCGCTTTCGGCCCTGATACGGTATTATTGATGTGATCTGATGTGACGTAAATTTACTGGAGGATTACTTATTTGAAATCATCAGCGTGAAGCTCTTAGAGGTTAGTTTCAGGTACGGTTGTGTACGGTATTGTACGACCATACGGACCTCGTCATGGGCTGGGTTGCTGTATTACGGTAATCCCCAGGCGGGGGGATTACCGTGTTGTGGGGGTGAGGCCAGGGTAGAGGGTGTACGGCTAGGTCACATGTACGGTGGACCTAGCTTTGTTGCTCACTTCCCGGAGTTCATTTTTTTGTTATGTCTACCGCAACCGTTGCCGTGCTTGGTTATCCGCTTGGGTTCGTTTTGTTGGAGGATATAGACATGCCTTGGCTGCGATTGCCTTCTTGCGTAAAGAGAAGAATAACAAGAAAGGGAAGTCGT